GGGGCGGCGGGGCCCGGCGCCCGCCCCTCCCCCCCCCTCCTCCCCTCCCCCACCCCCGGGGCTGCCACCTGCGGGGGGAGGGGAGAGAACCGGCTTCATTAGCGTTAATTAGGGGTGCGATCAGAGGTTAATTGGCGCGGATTATGGGTGGGGTCAGGGAGTTAATTACCGTTAATTAGGGGTTGTGGTCAGGGCTTAATTATCATTAATTAGGGGTGTGGTCAGAGGTTAATTAAGGGCATGATCGGAGGTTCGTTATCACTAATTAGGAGCGTGATCAGAGTTAATTTGCATTTATTATGGGTGGGATCGTGACTTGATTAATTTACATTAATTAGCAGTGTGCACAGAGATTATCATTAATTAGAAGTGTGATCAGCAATTAATTATCACTAATTAGGGGCGTTATCACTGGTTAATTATCACTAACTAGGCATGCAATCAGAGATTAATTATCATTAATTAAGAGCATGATCAGAGGTTAATTATCACTAATTAGGGGCTTGATCAGTGATTAATTATCACTAATTAGGGGCTTGATCAGAGGTTAATTATCACTAATTAGGGGCTTGATCAGAGGTTAATTATCACTAATTAGGGGCTTGATCAGAGGTTAATTATCACTAATTAGGAGCACGACCAGAGGTTAATTATCAGTAATTAGGGGTGCAATCAGAGCCTAATTTGCATTAACTAGGGACATAATCAGCGATTAATTTGCATTAATTAGGGACATAATCAGCGATCAACGTGCCTCGATTAGGGGCGCGATCAGGGGTTAATTAGCACTGATTAGGGGCGCGATCAGAGCTTCGTCAGCACTAATTAGCGCTAATTACCGGGGCTGCCGTGGGCGATGGTGCGGTTGTGCTCGGGGGGGGGTCCCGGGGGGGTCCCGGCCCCTCCCCCGACGGCTCCGGGCGGCTGCTCCAGGATCCGACAGCGATACCAACAGCGGCGGCGGGCGTCCCGCGTGCTCCAGTACAGCCTCCAGCACCTGTGGAAACCAGTATAAACCAGTATAAACCAGTATAAACCAGTATAAACCAGTATAAACCAGTATAAACCAGTATGGACCAGTATGGACCAGTATGGACCAGTATAATCGCTATAAACCAGTATGAACCAGTATAAACCAGTATAACCAGTAACGCCTGCGGGCGTCCCGCGTGCTCCAGTACAGCCTCCAGCACCTGTGGAAACCAGTATAAACCAGTATAAACCAGTATAAACCAGTATGGACCAGTATAAACCAGTATGGACCAGTATAATCGCTGTAAACCAGTATGAACCAGTATAAACCAGTATAACCAGTAACGCCTGCGGGCGTCCCGCGTGCTCCAGTACAGCCTCCAGCACCTGTGGAAACCAGTATAAACCAGTATAAACCAGTATAAACCAGTATAAACCAGTATGGACCAGTATAATCGCTATAAACCAGTATAAACCAGTAAAAACCAGTATAAACCACTAAAAACCACTATAAACCAATAAAAACCAGTATAAACCAGTATAAACCAGTATAAACCTGTAACACAAATCCCCCTTTTTACTCCTCCCAGTCCCTCCCAGTTCCCTCCCAGTTGCTCCCAGTCCCCTCCCAGTCCATCCCAGTCCCCTCCCAGTATAAACCAGTATAAACCAGTAAGACTCACTGGTATCCCACTGGGAAGAGCCGCCCGTCTCTCTCCGACAGCTCCGTCAGCGCCCCCAGGCGGTCGATGCGGATGGAGCCTGGGGAGGGGGAATGGAGACCCTCAGGGAGACCCCCAGGAATTCCCAAAAATTCCCAAAAAATTCCCAAAAATTCCC